CTTATTAGCTGGACAAGGAGCTGTTTGTGTTTAGTGTTACACGTTAACCAACTTACAATTCGAATCGGAAACCTGAACGTCTAACACTGTCCTTGTAAGTTAATAAATCATTTTTTTCTTTACAGAGAATGTCCAAAATGGCAGAAACCACACTTGAAAAAACAACGGAAACAGGTGCAATATCGCCACGTGACTGCACTTTAATCACAGAATTGCCAGAAATAATAATTCATATATTTCAATACTTGAAAGATGGAGAATTAGATTTATGCAGGCAAGTGTGTACCAAATGGAGAGATATCATCGAAAACATAATGTATCACCGAGTAACAATGATCACGAGGGTAATTATTATAACATTATTTTGTTGATTTAATGCTATGATTATATAATTGCTACAAACGCTCAAAATTCCAAATTCGATTAAAATAAATAGTTTCTAAGTTACGAAATTCAGTTTAGAAAATATTAATGAAATGACTGTAAAGGAGTCAATGTCCGATCGTAATTTTATGTTTTGAGGCGTTATTTTTATTTAATTATTTTTTTTTTCGGAGTTGTTTTTTGTTTAGGACAAACTCCTAAGCACCAGTGACCATGAAAAAAAAAAGCAAACTGAGTTTGCATCAGTGTCTGATCCTGTAACGACAGCTTATGTAAATTAAGACAGTGCGGAGCTGCACTCGAGGTAGAATAAAAGGCACATCCACGACAGAGGTAGGTAGCTTCAGGTGACCACGGTAGTAGTGACGTCGGTGATAAATTAGAGGAAAGTGTATCTTTTTGCTATAGAATCCTTTTGAGGTGGAAATAAGTTTTGTTGATTATTGGTTTTGTTACTACTTTTCAATTATTCAATTAGTTATCTTTCTGTTGGGGTCAATTAACCCATTATTGTCTTCTTTTTTGTCAATAAAATTAAACTTTATATTTATTGTTAGTTATTGTGTTATTGTCAAAATCATTGTTTTTTTTTATTTGGAAAGTCCAGGCCTGGTACTTGAACCCCACTATTATGTAACCCCTTTTGGTTTTCGTAAACTGTGCATTACATGACGAATTTTACTTTTTAATTTTGGTAGAGTTTGTATGATTTAAGCGTAAAATTGTGAGTTTTCTCTTGCTGAATCTAAACATTTGTAGATTTTTCAGTCATCAATGGATTTAGTGCTGTGTCTTTCCTTAGAGTTCGTTTCTCTATGTGAGATGTTTTTTCATTTGTCTATATTAAACTTCAATTTCATCAATAGGACAACGATGTGTAGCTGTTAATACATGATTTAGACTGGCCTTCTAAGGATGTAAGTGTTTATGTATTTTACGGAAATGGCGTAAAAATGTGGTTTTTTGGCTCCAATATAATTTTTACNTGTGTGTCGTGTGACCATAGGTGCACATATTGAACGATTTTGATAAATGCATAAAGAACTTGGACATTTGCCGCTGCTTATGCTGTTAGGTTTGCCCATATAAAGTAATATATAGATTTATTATTAATTTTTAAAATTGCACCATTCATTTATTCATTTATAAACACCCTGTATAACCTTGAGCTTTTCTCATATCTCTGTCTGTCATGAATGTCCATTTTAGATTAAAGCACTTTACTAAGGTACCCCAGATTACATCTACAGACAGCGCTTTGCAGAAATTCAACACTGTGACAAGAATTTAATTCCTATTTATACTGATAGATCAAAATCGAAGACTACGTTGGCTTTAGCTTTTGTCTGCAGGAATGACATCGTGGCAAAACAAATCGCGCCGAATTCTTCTATTTTGCTGCAGAGCTGAAGGCTATTTACCTAGCCTTAAAGTATGAAATCAGAAAATGCCATCGTTGCTATATGATTTACATTGACTCAGATATAGTGAACTTCAAACTTTGATTTCGTGTGAACCCAGTTTTTTCTCTATAGTAATTAAAATTCGTAAACTGATTTGCTATGCTTAGCAACTAATTCTTTTGTAAAATTTTGTTGGGTCCCAGGCCATATAGGTATGATAGAAATAAAGAAGCTGACGCAGCTGCGAAATCAGCGAGTCCATCACAGCATGTAATGTTTATCGCAGGATGCAATTTGAAGCTTGTTGTTAAAAAACGATTAGCAGATAGATAAAAAATGTGTGAAACACACAAGTCCACAATAAACTACACAAGATCAAACCTTTGATAAATAATTGGACGTATAATAAACAGTATGATAGGAAATCTGAGGTTATTCTTACTCGTCTGGAAATTAAACATACTCCACTGATTCATCAATATATTCTGAAGGGTGATGACCAGCCAGTATGCCAGCATTGTAACTGCTCTCTAAATGTAAACCACATACTATGCGATTGCTTTGCCTTCGAGACGATGCATATAGTGTTTTGAAAATTACAAAGGTTTTAGGCTGAAGGCCAAATTTTGACAACTTACTAGACTTTCTGAAAGTCATTAATATGCATAAAGAGATCGAATTATTTATTCACCTTTTACTTTTATGTATATATATATTTTTTGTTTTTCAATAATTTTATCGGTTTATACAGTTGTTAATTTTTTTTGTTGTTATTTTGTGTTATATATATAAACAAAAGAACTACTTGACATAACACAGCTTGGTTTATGTGGCCCGAAAACACTAGCCAACAAACCAATCATCCCCGAGAAATTTCATAAAATTTCGACAAACGGCAAAGCTTTCAAATTTGGTCAACAAAATCGTCCTCTACACGCACATGGACACATTAACATCTATTCATACAGAAACCAGAGAGGTTGCTGCCGAAATTTTAAACGGAACAACGTGTACGTCAGACGTTTAGCGCCGCCTTCCTGTAAACCTAGAAGTTTGACAATGCTGTTTGGAACGTCAGTGGACATAATAATCATGCTCGACATTTCACACGCCATTGTCAAACTTCTAAGCTTAGTGGAAGGTGGCGCTGAACGTTTGATGTACACGTTTTCCGTTGAAAATTTCGGCAGCAACCTCTCTAATATTTCGAATTATATTCTAGTTTTCTACATTTTCAGGTTTTCTGAGCCCAAAAATGTAAACATCTTTAAAGATAATTTTATGTCCGATCGCCATACTTATTCTCTTTTATATTAGATAATGGATAGTAAAATCACTCAACTAAATTTTAAATATCACAATTTTTACTACATATAAAAATATAAATTTGCTCTGCCGATATAAATCTAGGCATTGCTTAGACAAAACATTTTATAGATATAAAAAAACAACATTATCGATATATAAAATACCTATCACTACGTCTTAGCTTATAATTCCTTAAATATTTTTATTAGATTATTAAGTGTAAAGTTTATTAAAGGCGTTAGTCTTTATAAACATTTTACAGTCAGCACAAAGTACATGAACTGACTTTTGTAACTAATTTATGAATGCCTATTATTTTGTCTTATTAAATTATGGTAAGTAGAAGGCTTTATTGTATTTATTTTATATAAATTTCGGGTGACAAACTTTATATAGCTTAATGCAACGCGAATATAGTCGTTTATTATAGTTTATATAAGAAATGTTATACAGAAAAAAAGATTTCTTACCCGATAACAAAAAAAAAACCTAAAACATGACAAAATTTCAAAAATTAGACGAAATACGTTTATTGTAAACTTATATCTCATGTGTTTTATGTGTTTTAAACGTATTTCTCACACGCTTAGAACATATAAATACGTTCAAACACGTATCTCATACGTACAAAACACATAAAATGTTCGCATTAAAGATGCTTAACTGTAGATATTAATTAGTACACAATAAAAGTACAGTATGAAAGATATAGAATGTTAAAAAATTATTAAACAATATAATTGAATTTTTTATTTCAGCTATATTTAAGATTACAATACAAAAAATGTTCAGCTTTGTATACGAGAGTATAGCAGAGAAATTATGAAAATTTTCCTGGATTCTGGACTTGTTTCAATTCATTAGTACAACGATTATAAATAAATTGTATCTGCTGATTTTAATTTTTGTTTTTATCTTCATTGTCTACTTTTCGTTTTCAACCGTTAACGATGTTGTTGTAAGTAAACATCGAGAGAGATTTAATTTCAAAATATTATTTACATTTAATCAGTAATGTTTATTGATGCAGGATTTGACAGATAATCGTTATAACGAAGGAAGAGCGAATGAGAGGAAATTACGTACAAAACGAATGCAGTTATTAAAAAAAACAAATATATTAAGAAGATCGAAACGATATTCTCCCGCGTATCAAAATGGATGGATACCTTTGTTGGAATCCAGAGATCTACCTGTTGGGAAGTGCAAACCTGTTACTGTTCTAGGTAAGATATTAAAACATTACATTAGTCTATGACGATTAACAATAGGCTATTACTTATTCTGAATAATGTCACGTTACGTACACTCAGAAAAATAAGATTCTAATAGATTTAAAAAGTTTTATGATTAGAAATAATTTTAATTATTTTACAGGTCAGAAATTTGTTGTATTTCGTGGAAAAACAGCAACGTGTTTTGTTTTAAATGCTTATTGCCCTTATTTGGGCGCTAATTTAGGAACTGATGGCAAAGTTCACGAGGATTGCATCGAATATCCTTTTCACGGATGGCGATTTACTGGACAAGATGGTACTTGCGTGAAATTACCTTACGCCGAAAAGTGAGAACTATTAAAATATGTTTATTTAATACGTCTATTCTTATTTTTGCACGTAATTGAGTTTCTTCGCATTGCAAGAAAATATGAATATGGTGCAATAGTTTTACTACGATAATTAGAATTAAATAAATTAATGTCTTGAACGAAATTATCGTTGTAATTAAGGCAGTTGTTTTGCGTCAGAATTCCGAGATCGAAATGACATGTAACGTTTTAATATGACAAATCACATAGCATTGGACATTGTCAACATCGCTATTAAAGTTAATGAAACAGTAAATTGCATCGCATTATGATCATGTCTTTTACGCATGGAATACATTGCGAAAATGATTAATTGAACTACACGGGAAACAAGATAATAAGCACGTAGTTTCCGCAAGCATTTTATAACTAAACCAACACAATAATGTACGAGACAATTCTCAATATAAGGAGTTGCTTAACTAAAAGCGATAGCACAGTCGAGGTCGAACTGATCTTTTTTTTCAAATTTAGGCATACGTATATGAGAAAACTACTACAACATAGACAAATACATGAAATATCTAAACAAATACATAAAAAGAGGCACAAATTCAACTGCTACCTGCAACTGTCACACGTTGAATTTATGCACTGCAATTATATTGTTGCTGCGGGGTGATTAATTTACGCCAGGTTACACCACAAGTGATAAATTATATCGTATAAATTAACTAGGCATTTATCTTTTAAACGATAATGAATAACGCTAGAAGTGCGTCACACATATGCTAAATACATGATTTAGGTAGGATTTACGATAAAAGGCTAGTCTGGTATCTGAGATGAGTAACTAGATATTACTTTATTGGTGTACAGCTGTTTAGCATTCCTCGGTGAGGCCCTGCGTTGTATTGACATACTAAGTAAGAATATTCAAATAGAAAATGCTTGATATGCTATGTGCAATTTACATTAAAAGTTTTAATTGTGTGTGTCGTTTTCTGCTGCTGATGGCATTGCCGTTAGACGTGTACTAAGCAAAGTTTTGTCGACGGTTTTTGTATTAAATTATGAAATGCTTTTAGATTTTTAAACTCTTAATCAATCTCTTTTTATTGTATAATTATTTTCCTTTTTACCTTTGCGATCGACAGAGATAGACAGTTTGAAATATTACTGTGAAATTGTAGTGCGATTTACACGTGAGTATCATTAAACGAATTAATCGATTTTACTATACACTTTGCCATGGAACCAATGCACCATAAACTTATATTCTTTTAATGCTGAAAAAATATATTGTTATTTTCGAATAGTATTAAACAAACACACAGTAAAAATGTATTTAAATTTAGTTCCAGAAATGGCTAAAATAAAAAGTTGGGAAACCATCGAACAGAACGGATTCATTTACGTGTGGCATCATGCAGACAGCAAACCTCCTCTGTGGAAACCTCCAGTTATACCAGAAATAGAAAACCGACTAATGGCGTACATAGGTCGTAGTGAACACGTTATAAACTGCCACATTCAGGTATTTACAATAAAAAACCATAACATAAGAATAAATGTATAATTTAATGTTTTTATTGGTGTACTGCAGGAAATGATGGAAAATCCAGCAGATTACGCTCATCTGGAATGCCTTCACAAATTTGGATTGTCGTCCAAAATTACTCATCATCCAGAAAATTGGCAGAGATTTATTCAGCTCATAGCCAACATATCCCCCACTCCGGTATGTGAAGAAAATTTTCACTGTGCTAAATATGAAGGCGTTATGGCTGTTAAATTATTCGGAATATTTTTAGTAAGGTATGGGGTTTTAGGAAGGAGCCCTAAAGGTGAAAGGTTACGACCCTCTCTTTACCCGTGATCTGTCAGGATGACACGAGAAAACCTTTTCCGTATGGGGGTCGCGGTTTGCTGGACGCAAAGACTCACACAGAGACCGTATTTACCAATTCAACGCGTTTATTTGGATTAGAAAACATGCTTACAATGCGTTACACTTCTCGGACCTTCGATAGGCGTCCGTCCAAGACAGTTCGTCGAATTGTCCTTGGTTGTACTTGTTGTCCGTAGGTTCGAGGTTCGTCACACACACCAAAAATCCCGGGAGGAGAAAGTTCGTCTCCTCACCCGCCGTGGAGGTCTCGGGAAGTTTCGCTATTCCCTGGAGCTGGAATCCTTAGTCCTCTTCTTCGGAAAAATCTCGGAGTTGATCCGTCCTCGGGGACTGTCGAAGTTCCTCACAGTTTCTCAAACTCCCAACCTCTCCGTGTCCTTGGGACCTCGGGCTTTTATAATCTTTCCTCACCCGAAATCCCGAGGTTTTGGTTGGTCCGAATGTTGGTCCCTCTGCCTTCTATTGGTCCCGGGTCTGTTGCCAGGGACGCGATTCGGGCCGAGGGGTCGCCGAGATGACCCCCGTCCGGGCCGTTCTCCTCCGGAGTCGGGTCAAGCCCTCTCCCGGATGACGGTCTCGTAAATTGTCACCTAATGTCTATTTTTCGGTCCCGGAGAGGAGGAAGCTGTCTCAGCCACCGCCCCCTCCACAGGAGTGTCAGTAGGACCTGCTTTGAACTCGATGTAAGGTGACCGTCCAAAGTTTCCCCGACGGTCGATCCCTCGATCGTTCTCACGATTGACGACCGTGAATCTGTCAATTAGGGCTGGAATGCGACAATTAAATCGTCTCGCACCCCGTTCCTTGGTCACACCGGTCCTATTTACGTAATAAGTCACCGATATATTGACTTTAGCTCGACAGCCGGTTTCCGTCCGAGGGGGGGGTGTGGTCCCGGCCTCACAAAGGTCATCGTTTGAATTACATCAAGTAATTAATTAATAACAATATATATGTGTTTACAATTACACATATATATTGTAATAGAAATTAAATAGAAATAGAAATTAAACTGATTTAACAGTATGATTAATTTTAATATATTAATGAATCCTATTATTGAAATTACGATGCGCAATACGAAATAGGAATTATAATTAATAAAAATAATACATAAAACATAACTCTAATCACAGAAAAGTAGTGTCAAAAGGTAGTGTCTGAAACATTCCAGTCGATCCGACGTCAGATAGGCCAACTTACACAATTTCATTTATTGAAAAGAAAAGACTGCTGACAAATATTTTTTACTTCATTGTATTGCGTGAGTGTGTATCAGAGTAATCTGTTTGCAAAACAAAAAACAATCAAAGGTTAGCTTCGCATTTAGCGCTTTTGTTGGTTGGCAGATAAATTAAAACACCATTCGGGAGTTTCACGATCTGTTTAATTAATACGTCGAACTGAAGTATGTAATTTCGTGATTTAATTTGACATTTCGAAAAGATAAAAGCCAACTGACAGACATTTCATACAGATGTTTCATACAGGACAGCATCCAGCAAAGCTTATTCCACGGTCGAACGGATTAAGCTATGTTTTTCTTTTTCTCAAAAAGGTTCAATGATTCTCTTAGTTCATTTTACATATGAGGTTCAATGATGAGGTTACACATCAAAATAAACAGGAAACTGTATTGAGTAAATGTTGTGTTTTTCTGTGACATTTGTAAATAGCTATGTAATGTATGTAAATAATAGTTTATATTTTTGTTTTGTGATGTAAATACTGAGTTGTATTATGCTTTCAAAATATTTTAAAAATTTACCCTTATTATTTAGTACATCGTAATTATTTATGTTCGTTTAGTAACAGGTATATTTTTGGTGAATTTTTTAAGTTTGGTAGTACTTTGTGTATTTTGTGTAATTAAGGGTAGGGGAGACCGGGGCAAGATCGGCATGTTAAGCTTTACTTAAATTTTGTGTAATAAATACTACTGTAAACTGAAAAAAAAAGCTTTGAATATTGTCTATTGGAATGTTACCTTACTATAGAACTGGTTAAAATCAGTTTGGAAATAAAAATAATTAAAATAATTACAACTTTACAAGAAGAGAAAAATTGCCGAAGTTGCCCCTATACCAGGGACAAGTTCGGCAACACTAATGGGGCAAGATAGGCAGGTATATAAGTTTATGTTTTTTACAATATATACGTTGGAATTCACTATTAAAACAAAGAAATACAAGCTCAAAAATATATTTAATATTATTACAACGAAATGCAACTTCAAAGATATATATAAATATAAAAAAATGCAAACAAAAATTAATTACAAAAAAATCAAACAGATAATAAATGAAAATATGCTTTTACATTGCTTTAGAATGTTGTTTATTTACTTATTTTCTACACTTGTCACAAATGAATTGAGCATACTCATTTTCTACATCTGTGCAGTCAACATGAGCCCACAGTTTACATTTATAGCACATAATCCACTCCTCCTGAGTAATGCCATATTCTTCATGACAATATATACAATATGTATTTACACCGTTATTTTCTGGTTCCTTGGGACTTGTTTGCTTCTTTCTTTTNATTAATAACATTGCAAATTATAAAAAAAAATTTATTTGCAAAACTAGATTTTTTAATAATAATATATAATGTATATAAGATAGATTTTTACGATATGTGCTAGTAACTGCGCCAAAGATAGTTTATGATTTTAATTTTACGATAATTAACAATAAACATCGAAAATACAACAACGAGAAAAAAATTATAGGTTACTTTAATTGAAACGTCATTAAGGGACAAAGGTGTCTATCTCCAGTAGTGTTAGACTTAGCGAAGATTTTACTCGTATTAACATTTACGGTATTTTCTATAAAACATTTTTATTTTACACATTATACTTTTTGCCTCTCATATTAATTAATAATATAAAGGTTTTTTAAAGTGTGGGTTCTAGGAGCCCTTGTGTGTGGTTGGAGACACCAGTGTGGGGTTGGAGACACCACTGTAGTGATGTGAGCCCTTAAGGGGGTGAAAAAGGTTACGACCCTCGCTTTACCCGTGATCTGTCAGGATGACACGAGAAAGCCTTTTCCGTATGGGGGTCGCGGTTTGCTGGACGCAAAGACTCACACAGAGACCGTATNTTCAAAGTTCAAAAAATTTTTCACAAAAAAATAATTTATTAGGAAGCACGCGAGCGCAATTCGATGACAAGCTTCACGACGAAAACAAGCTTCAGCAACGGCGTAGTGAGACGGTGCACACTCGGTAAGTAATCCTACAATTTTTTGTTTATAGCATAGTTTATATGGATTATTTCCAAAAAAAAAATTATACGTATTTTGGAAATGTTGAGTCGAATTAGTCTAGAATCGATTAATTAATTTTATGGAAGAAACCTTTCATACAGCCGTAGTCTGTAAACGGCATACGTGCCGGGCTGTGATTGGCTGGACTCCTAGAAGCTGGATTCATAAAACTCGGAACGTATCTACCGTGTTATAGGGGGGTCGACTGTATACACATATATACAGTCGACCACCCAATAACACTGTTGATAATTCTGTGTTATATGAATTCCATGTTGTACAAGTCACTTACATTTTACAAATACGTGTTCACAGCCCGGCACACGTATTTGTAAAATCTAAGTGACTCGTACAACATGGAATTCATATAACACAGAATTATCAAAAGTGTTATAGGGGGTCGACTGTAATAAGATAAGCATTCAATTAGTATTATTTCTTATAGAACAAATCATGGAAAATGCACTCAGTAGAAAAGTGAATAAAATAAAAATCACTGGAGTACCTGTAAGTTAAATGTTTAATTTATTTTCAAAATTGTTATTACAAAATATTTCTAATTTCTATTTTTTAATATATTTAGCTTTCGTCTTATTTAAAAGTAAAGAAAATTAATAACACTGTAGTCTTTGATGGTATCGATTTTAAATTTTTAAGTTTAGTCATTCAAAATTTGAAAAATGCTCGGTAAGTAAATTTATTTCACATAGATACATGATATTATAAATATTTATAAAATATTTTACATAGATATGTAATTATTGAACCTGTTGAGAAAGTATTTGGAATTAAATTAGACAACGGCACGTGGAATGGCGTGATTGGAAGAATACAAAAAGAAGTATGGATAACAATAAAATTGAATTTTTGAAATTACAATTCAGTTTACAATATTTTATTTATATTTATAAGGAAGCTGATGTTAGTGTAAACTCGATCTATGCGACTTACGAAAGATTTCAAGTAGTGAAATTTACAGCTTCTGTTGGTACTACCAAAATTTTATTTGTTGTTTCTGGACCCAAACAACTGTCAAAACTAACGACGATAATCAGGCCATTTTCATTTGAAGTGAGTAATATTATGTTATATTATTTACTTTTGATAAAATTACGTTTTCCAAAATGCATCCTTGCATGAAAGAAACGAAAATTCGTTTGAACGAAGATGTTCCAGTTGGTGAATTCTCTCAAAAATGTCTGGAGTCGTCATTTTTTACCCATATCCCTATTATAGTTCTGGCCGAATCCACAAAGATTTTGTGAAAAAAAATAAAATAGAATAAAAATTCATATCATCTACGAAGAATAAAATGTACAAAATACAAAAATTTTTAAAACATTTATAATATTAATTAATGAGCAATGCAATTTTTACTTACAACTTAAGCTATTATGTATATCATGTTTAAATAATATGCTCTCTCCAATAAGCATATAAAAACTTCCGGTTTGTACTAAAAGTTATATTACTTCAATACAAAAATTTTTTTTTGAAAAAAAACTGTTGATATATAGAGGCCAAACACAAGTAATTTCAGGTGGTAAGCATAAAAATTAAATTAAATAATTTCAAAATAATAAAAGTTTCAGGTCATCATTGTGAACATTGACACGATAAATAAGTGCTCATTTATACTAATTTGTTTTCATTATATATTTTGCAGGTGTGGATCTGTATTTTTGCTTCATTATTTGTTACTGCAATTGCGTTTTATTGTATTGTTCAAGGAAACGTTTATTTTCTCCATAAAACGACTTTCTGGACCATAAAACAAATTTATTGGTTTCTTATTCGCAGTTTAAATAATCAAGGCAAGCAAATACATATATAGTAATTTAAAAAACAACTTTTATTATATAAAAATACATTACAAGTATGTAAATAACTATAAAATTCTGTCACTCTAATATTCATTTTTAAATTCTTATTAATTTATTAAAATTTTTAAGATAATTCGTAAAAAGTTTGTTGAACGTACTATTAAGAAATAATTCATATAATTTGAAATATTTAGTTTACATTTCTAAAATATAATATAACATTTCATTATTTTAAAATTTATTTATTTTTTATTTTAATAATAATGATATGTAATAACAAAGTTTATAAATGAAATGATGATTTTAAATGTACAGTAATATATAATAAGTATGAAAAAGTCAAGCAAAATTATCACCTTTTAAAATATTCCAGCAAATAATTTAATATCGTAAAAACGTTTTCGATCGTCTTTAACGATTTTTATTAGTTAAATAATAAAGTAAAAAGAACATTAATGAAATAAAACTTAAATTAAAATTNCTTAGGGCACAGAAACACGGTGGTAGTTTTATAGATGGATATAACGAATCAAAGTCCATGACCGTCATATATTCGTTGTTCTTGAGATCAATATCATTGAATTTCTCTATTAGTTGCAGGGCATTAGTGATAGTATATGGGCGGACGTTTTCTTTGAAACGAATGAAGTTAACAAGTTTTTTTTTTTCAATAAGAAATGTGAGAGAACTGCATTTCTCTATGACAGGCCGAATGTTGTATCCTGGTTTGTGTGTTTTCGCAAAGCCGAAAATTCTGGGATTCTTTGGTGCAGAGTTTGTAGCATTCATGTGCAAAATTCGAGCCAAGGGTGTTGAAGAGAATTCATGTAGTTTCAGGTGCTAGAGTGCACTCGGTACTTGTGATATACTTTTGTAATTTCTCGTTTTAGGAAGAGCGTTTAGCAAGTACAATCTCCTTGGTTTTGTCAGCTTTCATGAGAACGATGTTGTTATTTTGTAACCATACGCATGCTTTGTTTATAATCGATATCAAATGATTGTTATTCATATTAGACCTTTTTTTTCTTTCCTGAGATACGAAGAAACGCGTTTTCCAGCGAAATAATCTTGTGTGGTATTGTTCAAATCCTTGATAGCTTGTTCGGTGTCAAAGATAACATTTTCCGGTCTTGGTGTAGAAGCTGATGCATAGAGTGGTCCAAACTTTACTGCAGTTAATACGCATGGAGGAGGCGCAATGTTGTTCCAGATAGTGACAGGTGGTGTAACATTAGGAGAAGGATTTATGTTCTGTTGTTTGAATATCCATCTGAGTTTTTTGATGTAGTTTTTTAAAAAATTACTTTCATATTTCTGTGCCGGACCGATTACCTTTAGATTGTTTTTTTCAATACTTCTGGGTCTTGTGTAAAAAGCTCTTTCTCTACTTTTGTAATCTTATGTAAGATAGCAAAGGTACTTTTTCTTGTGGTTCTAAGCTCCCACCATTAGACCCACGTCTAACAAGCACACCATCAGACATCTTGAAAAAAAGCTTGAGATTTATAAAGCCCAAGGGAAAACTTCTTGTATCAATCATAGGGACGCCCACTTTCTATCTACAGCATGAAAATCATTTTATAAAGATAAATTGTAATTTTTACGAGGCATTAATTTTTAATGCAATTCTGTCGAGCTTTTTATTTTTATTTTTTATATTCTTATATCCCTATCTTTTTGTATTCATTCCCCTTAAGCGCACTTCATCACAAACACTTGAGCAATTATTATTGTTTCGGAATTTTAATTTAAGTTTTATTTCATTAATGTTCTTTTTACTTTATTATTTAACTGATGAAAATCGTTAAAGACGATCGAAAACGTTTTTACGATATTAAATTATTTGCTGGAATATTTAAAAATATTATAATTTTGCTTAATTCTTTCTAATTTCACTATCTTTTTGTATTTATTCCCTTAAGCGCACAT